GACAGCATAGGAAACAAAAAATAAACGCAGGAATCAAACCTGATATCCACATCTCCACTATAAGGTTAAGGACATTTTTTTCCTCTGGATAATGTTGGCAGTACACAGTCTAAACCTTGCTCTTTGGATTTCCATTTTAGATCTTACACATACCAACTTCTTCCTGTTAATCACGCCCATCCCATCCCCTGCCAGGCAGATTACAAAATAATTGGTTAGTTTTTGCTTTTCTTAAGAACTATCGCATTTTAGGCCTCCCCCCATTTTATCCATATACCTGAACATTCCTGGTTACCTCATTCACCTGTCAAGAAAAACCTGTAGGTAATCTCTTTCATTAAATATTGTGTGTGTTTTTCTTAAATCAGGTTCATTTTTACAGGATAACTTTAAGTTGGGACAGTGGCTACCATCTTAACCTGCCCATTTATGCTGCTGTCTTGTAATAAATCTTGATTATTTTTTACATACAGAAATGAGTTCTGTTGAAAATCATAATAGAGTAAGTACTCCATTACCTCTATTATGGCATTTATTAACATAAGGAAATTCTCTTGAAGATAGGTTCTTGATTTATGTGAATAGAAGTATTATATTTCTAATAGATTCTTTTAGAATCTTTGTTAGGTATTAAATATATAAATCAATTTGTACTTATTTTAGTAAACATTACAATGTATAAGTAGGTTGATGTTGGTGTTTGGTAGGCATGTAAGAACTCAGAGAAGAAAAAGAAATGTTCAGTGCTGGTACTTCAGAATTGGCTCAGTACAGCTAAGGGAAAAAAGATGAAAAGTTAGCTTCACTCCAAGCATAAATTCTAATTTCGCTTTTAGTAGTAGTACAGGCAGTGTTTTATGTCAAGTGCATAATATAAAAACTATCTAGATTAGTGCCTGTGTCTTTTAAAATATAGTTAACATTTTCATCCTTAGTTATTTTACTCATCCTTTGGTAGTAATAAATATAATCTAATGGCATTGAATCATATGCTTATTAGAACAATGTGTTATTATTTTTTTTAATAATTCTTCATTGTTGAAAAAATTAAGTTTCCTTTTTCCCCCCATTGACCTCTTCCAGGCCCCCCCCCCCCCCCA